TTTTCTTTCTTTTTTATGCAACCCGCTGAATTTTTAAGATTAGCGAGCGTCACTTCGCTTGGTGACGCGGAATTTTGCGGCGCGGTTGGCTTTTAGCAGCCTCCGTCGGAAAAAATCTGTCCCTCCATCTAATATAAATCAGATTTTAATTTTTTTTTTTCTTTAATGGGATGGAAATCTGAGCACTGGGTTCACAGCCGAGGTGCCGGCACAGGGGCGGTGCTGCGCGGTATTAACTTTAACCTCGATATTTAACCTTATTATGGACTCGGTGGTCTTTATCCAACCCTTCCAACCCTTACCAGTCTGGGATTTATTCTGTGATTTAGGGTTTGCTCCTAACCCCGGCGAAGGGTGGGAGGTTTAGGGGTGGATCCAGACATCGCTGCCCGCTGTTCCCCGGGGACGGGGTGGGAAGCGGAGGGGTCTCAGTGGGGTTGTCCAACGTGGATGTTGGGTTTCTTTGCTGGAGGAGACGCAGCTACAGCGATACAGATGAGGTGGGGAATATGGTGCTGGTTATTTTAAGTCTAACGTGTTGCGCAGGCGATACGGGCATCTCTTTGCAGCTTAAACCAGGGTGCAGAAGACATCGGCCAAACCTGCATTAATGCCCTTTTCCTTTGTGTCTCCCGGTTCAGCCTAAAGGACCTCGAGGTGGCCGAGCTGGGGGACTCTGATGTCCATGTCAAAATGTTGGCAGCCCCCATCAATCCCGCCGACATCAATATGATCCAAGGTAATGTGCCAGCTGCATCTTTTTTGCCTGTTAATTCCTGCCTGATGCTCACAGAATCACAGAATGGTCAGGGTTGGAAGGGACCTCTGGAGATCATCTAGTCCACCCCCCCGCCAGAGCAGGGGCACCTACAGCACGTTACACAGGACAGCGTCCAGGCGGGTTTGGAATGTCTCCAGAGTGGGAGACTCCACCACCTCTCTGGGCAGCCTGTTCCAGTGCTCCACTACCCTCAAAGTAAAGAAGTTCCTTCTCATGTTAAGATGGAACTTCCTATGTTCGAGTTTATGCCCATTACCCCTCGTCCTATCTCTGGGCGCCACTGAAAAAAGACTACTCCCATCCCCCTGGCATCCTCCCATTAAGTATTTGTAAGTATTAATAAGATCCCCCCTCAATCTTCTTTTCTCTAGACTAAAGAGACCCAAGTCCCTCAGCCTTTCCTCATATGAGAGATGTTCCAATCCCCTCATCATCTTCGTTGCCCTTTGCTGGACCCTCTCCAGCAGTTCCCTGTCCTTCTTGACCCGGGGAGCCCAGAACTGGACGCAGTATTCCAGATGTGGCCTCACCAGGACAGAGTAGAGGGGGAGGATGACCTCCCTCGACCTGCTGGCCGCACTCTTCTTGATGCCCCCCAGGATGCCATTGGCCTTCTTGGCCACCAGGGATATCCCGGAGGGTTTGGGGGCGGCTCCTGGGATGGGGAGGTCTGGGGTGTGATGGGCTCCGCAGCTCACCTCCGACTTCCCGGCAGGGACCTACGCCATCCTCTCCCCGCTGCCGGCCGTGGGAGGGAACGAAGGTGTCGGGGAAGTGCTGGAGGTCGGGCGGCGCGTGGCGGCTCTGAAACCTGGGGACTGGGTCATCCCGGCGGGCACCGGACTCGGTGAGTGCGTACCCCAACATTCTCTGTGCCGGACACCACGGCACCGCCGGATCCTTGCTCACCAGTGAGGTCCTCCTCTGCATTCCCCCACCTGCAGAGCATCTTCCCAGGGGATTTTGGGGATATTTAAGCCCACCGGGAGCTGCCCAAGCAGCTGCTCATGCCGATGGCCTCATGCGAAACGGTGCTTGAGGAGCTGACGTGGGGATTTTGGGGGTCCCGGAGCAAAACCGCTGCTCTCCAAAGCACCGTCTTTGCTGGGTGGGGGTGAGCCACGTGCAACTCCCACTTACAGTGATGACATCTAATTGGATCTGACTTAAAATGAGGGGGAAAAAAAAAAGCTCCAGTAGAGAACGTTGGGTGAGGGAAGCGGCAGTTGGAACCCATTTAGCGCCACATTAGCCTCATCATAAATCTAATGGGTGGGTTGTCTCAGACAAGAAGCATCAGGATAACTTCTGGAGCCGCACAAAGGCATCTTCATTTCTTACCTTCTCTCTCAGCCTGGAGAAGAGACGGCTCCGGGGAGACCTTATTGCAGCCTTCCAGTCCCTAAAGGGGCTTATGAGAAAGATGGGGACAGACTTTTTGTCATGGCCTGTAGCGATAGGACAAGGGGTGATGGGTTTAAATTAAAAGAGGGGAGATTCAGCCAAGAGCAAAGGAAGAGATATTTATTTTTTTACGCTGAGGGTGGTGAGACACTGGCCCAGGTTGCCCAGAGAGGTGGGAGATGGCCATCCCTGGAAACATTCCAGGCCAGGTTGGACGAGGCTCTGAGTAACACGATCTGGTTGGAGATGTCCCTGCTCATGGCAGAGGGGTGGACTAGATGGCCTTTAAAGGTCCCTTCCAACCCAAACTATTCTATGATTCCGTATCTTGGTTTAAGTTTTATTATTTCTGCCATGTATTTTTATTTTTAATGTTGTTTTCTTTTTTTAAAGCAAGCTCGCTACCTGATCCCCGGCCGCAGCGGGTGATGCTGCTGGTCCTCTGCGGAAGGATGGGGTTCCCCGGGGAGGGGGACACATGCAATACAAAAACCCGGAGCACTTGCAAGAGGAGCGGTAGCGATGCCGTTGCTCATGTTAAACTTGAATTTAGAATTAATCTACTTTTCTATAGCATAGACCCTTTATGGGGCTTCTGCGCCATTATAAAGCATCGCAGCAATCTCTGCTTCTCTGGAAACGACCGCGTTTTGTCACATCTACTTAAAGCTTCTTTAAAAACCCGGGATAAAGCGTTTAACCTGCGCGAGGTCATGGTTGTACCTCGTTACCGATTTCTCCTTCATAGCGCTCTGATGGGGAAGCGCAGGAATTTCTTTGCCAGCAAATGTCTCTGGTGCTCCTCCGAAATGCCAATGACCAGAAAAATTGTTGGTTCTGGTTTAGCGTAACAGCTTGTTCTTTGCCTATTTCTTCTTAAAAGGCTTTTTTTTGCTTAATGGGAGAAGGAAAGCTATCTAGTTAAGATCCAAATGTGATATTTTTAAACATTTAAAAAAAAAAAAAGTGGGTGATAGGGGGTTAAATTGGATATAAATAGAGAGGGACTAAATCTAAGTAAATTGACTTTGACTATGCAGGCTCATCCGTAGGATGGGAATGTTTCCGTTGGCTCTGCACACACTCCCTGTGCCCAGGGAGCCCCGGTCCCGTTATCCCTCTGGGAACTGATTAGACTTTGCTGGGTGATACATCGCAGCGGGGGATCCATCCTGCCGCTCGCAATATTTTGGCCGTTGCCATACGGGAAAATGTTTCATAATTCACTCTGCAGGATTTAGATGGCGATGCTGCCGCGTGGGGTGAGTTGAGGTCTCTTTAACGTTTTCTTTTTCTTTCTCACCTTCCTGCCGGCGGTGCTGCCGGTACCCCAGGGACGTGGCGGACACAGGGGGTCTTCCCCGAGGAGACGCTGCTGAAGGTGCCCAGGGACATCCCGGTGCTGTGCGCCGCCACCCTGAGCGTCAACCCCTGCACGGCGTACCGCATGTTGACCGACTTCGAGACCCTGGCGCCGGGTATGGCTTTTGCCGGGTGGAAGGAAATCCGGATGGATTTACCGGTCGCTTCTGCAATGAAAATCTGGATTTATTTCTATCCAGGTGACTCCATCATCCAGAACGCCGCCAACAGCGGTGTGGGCCAGGCTGTTATCCAGATCGCCAAAGCCTTTGGCATCAAGACCATCAACGTGGTGAGGGACAGGTGAGTCCCCTGGGAGAGGAGAAGGTCTCCTGCGGGGCAGGAGCTGCCCTCGGTGTGGGCTGGAGGCCGGCAGGAGGTCGGGCACAGTTCGGGGCAAGATCTGGTTGTCCTGCCCGTCCAATGTAGCGTTTTCTCTCATGGTTCAGCCTGCACCCCGTTTGCTCCTCCAAGGTATCCTCCAGCATCTGCCCAGTTGTCCCCAAGTTATGCCTGAGCAGGAGGGAGGAGAAGGGAGTCCTCGTGGACAACAGGATGCCCACGAGTCAGCAATGTGCCCTGGTGGCCAAGAAGGCCAATGGCATCCTGGGGGCATCAAGAAGAGTGTGGCCACAGGTTAAGGGAGATCATCCTCCTCCTCTGCTCTGCCCTGGGAGCACTGTGTCCCGTTCGGGGCTCCCCGGGTCAAGAAGGACAGGGAACTGCTGGAGAGGGTCCAGCAAAGGGCTACGGAGATGATGGGGGGACTGGAGCATCTCTCTGGTGAGGAAAGGCTGAGGGACGTGGGGCTGTTCAGTCTGGAGAAGAGAAGACTGAGGGGGATCTCATCAATGCTCATCAATCCCCAAAGGGAGGGTGCCGGGGGGATGGGAACAGTCTGTGTCCAGTGGTGCCCCGTGACAGGACAAGAGGGAACGGGCACAAAGGTGACCATCGGCAGTTCCATCTCCACCTGCGGAGGGCCG